TCGAAGGTGGGTGAACCCGCATACTCAAGTTATCTAATTACCGGAGTAGATGTGGGGAATATTTGGGATAGTATGTATTATATTATAATTATATAATATGATAATATAATAATAATATAAAATATGTATATATATGTTATAATAAACATATTTGCATATATTTGCCTAACATGTTCGGTTGACCCAGTCAAAAATGCCACAAGAAGAAAACCGCGGCAAGTCGCATCCGGTCGATCGCAGAAGTCTGCAAGGTCCTGGTGGAGTCGAAGCCTTCTTGGAATCCTAGCTGTTCGATAATCCAGTCATATCCAGTGATCACAGACCATGCCTGAATCAGATGTCGCAAGCTACAATCAAGCTGAGTTCTCTGGGAAAACATCTGAAAACTATCAAGGCCATTAGCTGATTGGATGTTTCAAAGACACCAAATTCTATCAATTCACCGGAGCTAGAAAGTCCGAAACTCGTCCCCACCAGCAGATTGGGCATGATTGGATGTAGCCATGTTTCCTCATATTTCAAAGTCATTTCTAGGAGTTTCGGCCTTAAGATATGGTAACAGGATCACTTTGGAACACAGTCTGACGCATCACTTTGGAACACAGCCATTTTCACCTCACTTTGGAACACAAAATGGTACATATCATCAAACCACCGCCAACCAAACAGACATCAGATTTACTGACAGGCACAGTACTTTGGAAGCCTCGCGCGTTCCAAAGCGAGGCAACTACCAAAAAAAGGCCCCCAATGAGAAATGTAGTCGTTAGGTCGAAGTCACCAAGTGCCATGCCTGCCACACAAAATGGACGTCGATGTCACCAAGTGCCACGCCTGCCACACAAACTGTACGTTGCCAATCCTGACAGTAACCATGGTTCTACCTTTTAAGCTTTTGGGGGGGGGGGGGGTTAGGGTTCACGACTGCTGCGGGTTCAGGGTGGTAGAATATTTTCTTATCATGTGCTACTCTAGATAATAACAATGGTTCTAACCTTTTAGGCTTTTGGGGGGGGTGGGGGGGTTGGGGTTCACGACTGTTGATGCTTCATGGTGTTAGAATGTTTCTAATCATGTGCTACTCCAGATAATAACAATGGTTCTACCTTTTAGGCTTTTACATGTTTTTACAATATTTTCTTATCATGTGCTACTCCAGATAATAACAATGGTTCATGGTGTTAGAATGTGTCTTATCATGTGCAAATGATGACGATGATGATGATGAATGTGGTGATGATGATGATGGTGATGGTGATGATGATGATGATGATGATGATGATGCTGATGCTGATGCTGATGATGATGATGATGGTGATGATGATGATGATGCTGATGATGATGGATGGTGATGATGATGATGATGATGATGATGATGATGATGATGATGATGATGATGATGATGATGATGATGATGATATGGCCTTGGATGGTGATGAAGATCATGATGATCAGACGCGTTCCAAAGCAATGCGTTTAACCGCGTTCCGAAGCGATGCGTTTCGTCGCGTTCCAAAGCGAGGGCCTAACCTTAAGATACGCATACTTCAGGTGTCCTGACTTGGACACTGAAACCCAGCCTAGAGCCGCAGTTTGCAGGAAACAACCATTGGACCATGGCCATATCTCGTATGGTATAGGTATGTACCCCGCATTTACCGAATATGTAAGGGGGAAAATGTAGGCGAATATTCCACTTATGGAAGATTTGGGAAATGCGTCGCTCTTTCAGTCATCTGTCGCTTGAATCCCCTGTGAAACCGCCATTGTTCTGGATGAACTGGCCAGTTCGAACTGCACATATTTCCGGGTTTATAAAACGTTCATGATTTCGATGGATTTGGGATATCATTTGCACAAAGCATCAAAGAGCGATGTTCGATAAGGCAAGCGGAGCAATCAGCCCACCCCATCCAGTCGGTCCGAGCAATATGTGGCGTTGGGGCGGCCCAAATAGGCTGCCGCGGAGCCTTGGTTCGGACATGAAGAGCTCGCAACTTGGTGAATTACCCCTCACAATTAGAGCCTAGAAGAGGCAAAAAATGGAGATTAAATTGGTTTGATTTGGTCTGTAACTGGCTTAACTCGAATACACCATGATAAAACATGTTCGCAGGAGTATGACGATCTACGGGTATATCAACTAGATTTGACGGAGAGCAGCATGTGCTAGTCATATCTAGTCATGAGAGACACCACGAAAACAAAGACTGCAGTGGCGAGAGAACACAGAAACACGGAAATGCAGCTGCCGCGCGTGAAAACAGTAAAGATTCAAGATGTTTGATGTCAGTCGTATCAGTGTGTGGAACCTCAAATTTAGGCTTTACGTTTCATCATCCATTTTCGGACATATTTGTTCAACTCGTCCTCTCTGACAGAGTTTGCAAATATTTTCGATTATTTTCGTACGGGGTTCATGGTCTGAATGTTCTAGGAGAATCAAGTGGCAGTTTCAGATGCTCCGCGCACAATCGACCAATCGCACCCACCGTTACGCCCGTGCAGCCAGGGGGCGAAAATGCATTTCCCACTTTCGGGCCAGAGTTCCTGCCGTTTCTTTGTGGCGAGTTGTGGGACTGTTTACCCAATTTTTGGATCTCTTTTCCGCAACTAAATATAAACATGTTTGCATGGTCACACGTGTTTGACATTGTGTGTGTGCACTGCTATTCACTTAAGCAGCTCTGTTTTGGTGACCACCATGAAGCGGGTAAACAAGAAGCAAAAAGCTCGTACATTTCAGCCATTTTGGTCACGTCATCTAATGAGAGTTTTCTGACCTCTCCAGTGGAACTACAGAATTCAAAGGTCAAAGACTGACACTTCGAATTATGTTGAACTAGAGAACTTCATCAGCATAGTATGGGGTGCCAGGGATGCATGCTGCACTGGCACCACCGAAGTCACCGGTGTGACATCTGTGATACAGTATCTTGGACGGAAACTTCCTAGACGTATGTGCACATGAATTTCAACTGTTGACAAGCTGCTGAGGCTGAGCACTTGCCTTTCTGATCAACAATTCATCACAATGGCACGCGGCCAAGTCATAAACCGCCTTGCCGACAAGATTTAATCATGGCGGGGTCTCTTCGCCTGAATTGATTAGGATGCAGGGTCCGGAACTTGAAAAATGAGGACTATCTGAACATCCTAAAGATCAAGGTCCGAAAGCACTTCAAGCAGCTAGTCTTTATAAACGGTGGACATAGGTACGACACTGGTTTCTGCGCTACGACTGCCATAGTTGACAGTGATATTCAGGAAGACCTTTCGACCTATATGATCACTGATAGGTTTTCCTCCTGATCCTCTAGTGCTATGTACTTCGTCTCACTGGATCCTGTGGCTCTTACTCTGATTCCAATGCCTTGACGGAAATTCTTCACTTCCCATGGCCCCCAAACGCTGCACTTTTGGTGTCCTCCGCCTTCTTGCCTCTGAATGATCCATTCCGGGGTTTCTTCGCCCAGAAATTCTTCTAAACAAATTGGAAAATACGTGCCATAGTCCTTAGCAACCAAACAACTGCCACAAGTTTACTGCGATTTGCCACGGCGACTGGCCGGAAATGTGGAGAAACTTGGAGTTCAAGGGAACCTGGCCTTTATTGTCCCACCAATTACCTGTTCGATATGTCAATATATGTATCAAGCTCCATCAGTTCCTTGCTTTTAGCAACAAAAAATATAAGTATATATATGGTTGGTGGTTTTAAACACCTTGAAAAATATGAAAGTCAATGGGAAGGATGACAACCCGTATATATCCATATATTATGGGAAAATGAAAAATGTTCCAAACCACCAATCAGATATATATATATATATATTAATATATATATATATACAGTAAGTAGAATTACTGCAACCCCCTGCATGTTCAGCATCGGAAAAACGCCAGCGCAGCGATCCGAGCCGAGGATCATCCATGGATTGTGTGGCCCATTTTTTGAAACCCGAGTCCTTGGTGAGGTCAACCAGAAAGATGTCCCTTAGGTATCCTTAGGTCAGTTAGGTGGTTCCAATAATCCGGGATCTACGGATATATCTTGCCCCAAATCCACTGGTTCAAAGTGCTGGACCAAGGGTTGCAAGCAGCATCACTGCGGCCGAGTCACAGAGCTGGTGAAATCGATGTATTTCTCCGTCTCCTTGGAAAAATGCTGCCGTGTATCCAGGTATAAACCAGATGTGCTGAGTGTTGAATGTACATGAATGTAATCACATGTGTTTATAGCATATTATACCTTGTAATGATCCTAACACATGTACAAGTATAGAACAAAGATAAATAAGTACAGAGGTAGATTTCAGAATGTGTCTGAATATATGTTATACTGGCTATCTATGAATATGTGTATGTATTAAAACATACACACATATGCTTGGACTCAATTCACATGTAATTGCAGAGGTGAAGACTATACATGTGAATACAATACATTTAGATACGCACTTGATACGAACATGCGTATATAATACATATACATATTATATGTATGAATATGCGTATAATATCGTGTAATTGTATAATAAGTATACATATATATAGATAATAGTGAGACAATGACCAGCCAACGTGGGTCTCATTTTTCGCAGCAGTTGATGGCGCAGCGATCCAGAAGCCATGGAATTCTGACGGCTGACCATTTTCCACTGGGTTCAAGAGCCCTGTTTTTGCTGGTGAGTTTCGTTGCTTCCCTCGCTGAAGAGGACTTTTGGATCCGCAAAGATATGTTCCTTAGGTGCAACGAGACAGGCACAGGCGACGAGTGACAAGTGATGGTTGACCCTGGGAAGCCCGGGGCTTGTCACCAGTGACTAATGACCATCCAAAATGAGAACCTTCAAAACGGGTACTACCTTCTGGACTTCTGGAGTCGTTTGTTTCTCACCAAAGCTTTGGATTGCTTCACAAAAATTGGATTTTGAACTGCCCAACAGAGTTTAAACCGTCAATCATGGCATATTGGCACAAAAGGCACAAAGGGAGCCCTACTGGCCATCAAGACAGAAGCAAGTTTCCATCACGGCAATTTCGATCATTGGAGCCGCCCGGTCGTACTCGCTGCCGATGGGCCGCGTCGTTTTGCCAATGGTCTGCCTAGGTTTTTTCATCGCGGTTCATGATTCATGGTGGTGAGTCAGGCGTTTTTAGGGATGATCAAATTAAATCCTGTATCTCGAGGCTTCCAAACTCACTATTGATGGCAAAATTTCCCAAACTTCACGAAGGGTGGCTGCGAAAGGGACCTAAATATAGGCTATATCCCAAAATCATGTGAGGCATCAAAAACCTTTATCCCATCCAGACGGGTTCTATCCTGGATCCAAATAATTATAGGGTATTCTAGGCTATGTTTAATAACCACCCATAGCAACGAAATCAATTGGGGTATGTTTGATGACTCATGTCTGGTTTGGGTGAGAATTCAAACTTTCCAACCAACAGATGTTGGCCGCTAGTGTATCCAAGTTTGTAAAATTCTGTAAACACCAACTTTGACCCAACTGCTGCTGATTTCAAGGAATGATAATCGAATTCAAACTTGGGGAACCCAAGAATCCATACGTGTTTCAAATTTGTCGTAACGTGTGTCAAAGTTGACCGGTATGGCAGTAGCTGCAACAATGCGACCGTGGCCGATGTCTACACCCCAGTGGCCGTTAGTTCTGACAAGTGTCTACTGTAAGTTATACTTCGTATTACGGGTGTACCAAATTTGCAAAGCACTAAACCATCCCTAAAATTGCCATAAATGGGTGGTATAAAACCATCAAAAGGTTGGTGGTTCCACGATTGCTTAAAATCAATAGGGATGGCCCGGTTCATTCCGGCGCTCGTCATCTTTTTCAAAATGGAAGGAGCGCTTCTGAAAATTCCAATCAGCTCTGAAACCCGATGAACAGAATACAGTGAAACATAGTTAAGTCATGTTAAGTCGACCTAAGGCCTAATCCCAGTAGACGAGTAAACGCTCGTTCCCATGGAAACTAAATTCATCCTGCAAGGCACTGGGTGTCCGAATTGAAGGTCACAATAAAGGTGCGGTTCCCTCCACACATCTGGTGCTTCACCGAGAGCATGGTGCTGGTCAAAGGCTGCAGCAATGTCGTGAAGGGAATCACCAGGGCGCAAGTGATCAGCACCACAATGATGAAGTTTTCCTTGACAAATTGGACAGCCGTTTTTCGAAAGCTCCAAATAGACAAGAAAAATCCTATCAAAAGTAGTGTCATAAGGGACTTTTCATGACTTTCCTATCTTTTTGGGGGCTGCCATATCATGTACTGTGAAACTTGGATGAGGCATTGTCAAGCCCATTGCCAGGAAAACAAACGAAAGGTTCCAGAGTCTCCGCTACTCACTGCCTGACTGTGTATGCAACCCCCTGGTCCCAGAAACGGGGCCGCCATTCTGGAAGCCTTTCCTTCTTCCGGCAATATTGCGGCCCCGTTTTTGGGGCCGGTTTTTGGCCCCATTTTTGGGACCACGAAAGAGCAAAAAGGAGCTGCTCGCTAGTCCTGACGGCCCGGATTTCGTCCATTTGGTGGCGCCAGCCTTCCTTCTGCAATGCAAGCCGCCATGGCCACACACATCCATATAATACTATGAGGGGACATGGCGCAGAAGCTGTTTTGAATCAGTGAAAAGGGTCCACTTTCCGGGGCCGCAAGAAGCCATGCTAATCTCTTGCGCTCTGGCAGCGTGCCGCCTTTACTACGCTTATGTCAGGAAGCTGTTTTGGGTGTGCGGCGTGCACTTGTTGCCGTGCATCCCGTCCGCGCGCTTTGGAATATACTATAGTATACGGCCAAAGCGCTACAAGGGACGTAATACCTTACTTACATGCGGGTTTGAGGGGCGGAATCGGGACGTACGAGGGGCGTAACCACAGATCGGAGGGACGTAATCTCTTATTTACATGCGGGTTGGAGGGGCGCACTCGGGACGCACGAGGGGCGTAATCACAGATGGGAGGGATGTAATCTCTTATTTACATGCAGGTTCGAGGAGCAATAGTTTCGGGTAGCGTGGTCTCCTTGGAGTTTGTCCACATGGGGTTCTACACCCCTTGCCTGTTTTCGAGCCACATGCCTTCCCAAGCATAATACATGCCTTCCCAAGCATAATCCGTTGCAATTGGTTTCCTCACAGTTCGGTAGTGGAGAATGCGTTTGGCTGTCAGTCGGCTTGTGCTCAAACGGCGCTGCCACTAGGGCCCGCTTTTGGGGCCGCATGCGCATATGAAAAATGCATTCTTGATGGTGGGCCCTCATATATTACCAGTAGTACCGCACAAGGCGGTGGCGGAAGTTTCAAAAATAGGAAACCTATAGGAGAGATTGGTTGTTGTGAATCAGGGATGGCAGAGCGAAGCCACTGATGGATTGAAAGGTGCTTGATCTCTCTCACTCTTTCTCTCTCTTTCTCTGAGTATCTACCTACCTACCTATCTATTTTCTATGTATCTATCTATCTCTCTACCTAGCTATCTATCTATCTTTCTATCTATCTCTCTATCTATCTATCTATCTCTCTGTCTGTCTGTCTGTCTGTCTGTCTGTCTATCGATCTGTCTGTCTTGTTGTAGCTGTTGTTGTTGTAGTTGTTGTTGTTGTAGTTGTAGCTGTAGTTGTTGTGTGGTTGTAGTTGTTGTGTAGTGTAGTAGTAGTAGTAGTCGTCGTCGTCGTCGTCGTCGTCCTCGTCGTCGTCGTCGTCGTCGTCCTCGTCGTCGTCGTCGTCGTCGTCGTCGTCGTGGTTGTTGTTGTTGTTGTAGTTGTAGTTGTTGTTGTTGTTGTTGTAGTAGTAGTTGTTGTTGTTGTAGCTGTAGTTGTTGTAGTTGTAGTTCTAGTTGTAGTTGTTGTGTAGTTGTTGTAGTTGTTGTAGTTGTAGTTGTTGTAGTTGTTGTGGTTGGTGTTGTTGTTGTTGTTGTTGTGGTTGGTGTTGTTGTTGTTGTTGTTGTTGTTGCTGTTGCTGTTGCTGTTGCTGTTGTCGTCGAAGTTAGGATAGTTACGTTAGTGAAGTTAGTTAAGTTAGTCAAGTTAGTTAAGTTAATCAGTGTCTACTTTTTCGACATCTTCACGTCAAAAAAGGCTCAAAACCCTCAGTTTTTACACTTTTGACTTCGAAATGTGCTTCGCGCCACAACGGCGTGCACTTTTTCGACACTTTTTCGACATCTGAACCTCCAAAAGTGGTCCGAGACCGTCAGTTTTTAACACTTTTGACTTGGAAATGTGCTTCGCGCCACAACGGCATGCACTTTTTCGACATCGCAACTTCCAAAAGTGGTCCGAACCCCTGGTGTTTTGTACATTTTCACTTGGAAATGTGCTTCGCGCCACAACGGCGTGCACTTTTTCGACATCTCAACTTCCAAAAGTGGTCTGAGACCGTCAGTTTTTTACACTTTTGACTTGGAAATGTGCTTCGCGCCACAACCGCGTGCACTTTTTCATCTCTCATCTGCCCAGCTGGCTCCGCACCCGCCGCTTTAGCGAGCCTACTTTTCGACCCTCCGGAGCCACAAAACATTGGAAAAACACAGTGAATCGCGACTTTCCTACCTTTTCGCGCACCTGCATCTTCTTTCTTCTGATCTTTTCTCTTCTGACTCTTCTCCCTACTGACTCTTCTCACCTCTGCTTTTCAACTGTCCATATTGTCGGAAGTTTCACTTCTAAACTTCCTTCGATAATATATATATATATATAATATATATATTATTATATATATTATTATATATATAATATAGATGTATTAGATCCACGCAACCTGGGAATATGATGAAATCTAAACCACTTCTCCAGCGAGTTCAACTGATGTTGGTGGGAACTTTGGCGGGAAACCACGGCTTTTACCCACCAATTCCAGGGCTGTGATGGTTCGGCAATTCCAGGAGGCCCAAAAAACACAGGGAAAATCTCGCGAAAATCTGTTCTGAACCACTGGATGGAATAGAGCACCTCCCCAATTTCGCAAACCCGATTGTTGGACCCCCAAAATGAAGCGACTTTTCTGAATCTTAGAATGCATAGAATCAACATGAATCAACTCATTTATTGTCTCCCTTCATAAACGAGGCACACAATTTCAGCTATCATTCACCCACCATTCACTGAGAAAACCCACACAGTGGGTCTCCAGAATCACGCTTGTTGGCCCCATCTATATGGAGGCCCATCATTGCAACCCAAACTCGCCCTACGTATAAACAAGATGATCAACAAGACCTTTGTTGGTGATCGCATCCCAAAGATACCACCATCATGTGGATCATGTGAAAAGCATCTTTTGGAAAAAACAAGTATGAATTCCAGCAGAACCATGCTGATACCACCCAGCAACAGAGTTGCAAGGCTTGCGGCTTGTTGGTCACCTCCGTATGTTTTGATCGAATCTCATGTATTATTCTGTCAAAACCAGGGAAAATTTCAAGGAGTTTGCCGGTTTTTTCGTCCCAGGGTTTCTCTAAAAGCCTGCGTCTTGGTCACATTCAGTTTGATTCTGGATAAATATACTACCATCTGGTTATTTAACATAGCCATGGAAAATCCCTTATAAATGGAGATTTATAGCTGGGAAAATCATCTATAAATGGGCCATCTATACCATGGCTATGTTAGTCATAACCAGAGGGTATACTCTCTGTGTGAATCTTTGTGGGTGATCTGATTCTGGGGGTGAATGCCTTCCCTTGTCTTTTGGTGTCAATCCCCAACCCGTTGAAGTTTACAGTATTTCTTTGTTCAAATCCTGAGACATTCCTCTTATTCCACTTTTTCTCCGCTTCATACCCACGTTCTCTTGTTTCTATCCGCATGTGGGCTGGCCTTTATTCCCATATTTGCTGATTACGATGGTCAATACATTCAAATAGATTTGACACTTCGATGGTCCTGTGTATTATACATATACATGCGCCCGCCTAAGACTGAGGTTTGTATGCATTTTCAAATGCATGTACGATGTTTGTTTGCTGGTTTTGGGGCTTGAGGTCTTTTCCCTGTTCAAGGGAGTACCATATGACTTACATGTGCTATTGATATGTGCATTTCAGTTTGACATAGGTTCCTGCTCAACATTGGAGAGTAAGGATGAGTAACGTGCTTTAGTTCCATATAATCGTTTCCTCATCCCTCTATTATTCATTGTCTCAGCAGCAAAATTCACAACATCTCTGTCCGATTCATGTTGATTCAATATATCATCATATATATAAAATATATGTGTTCTGTTCATCGAATATTGAGAAAACAGTGTCTACTTTGTGTGTGTGTTTGCTTTTCAATGAGGTTCATACGTTCCTAATCAAATGTGACTATGGGTCTTGACGAACAACTTGCATCAAAGACACAATGCGCCTTGCTCGGATATTCAACAGTTAGACACTGCTAGCAGTAATCATTCATCATAAAACATCTCATACATACATCGAGTTCATTAGTCTGGATTGAATTGCTAGACACTTTGCACCATTACCTTCAGCTGTTTTGTCATGTTCCAGTTGCTCTCTGATAGTGTCTCTCCTACCCCCTCCTACTTATGAGTATCTATCTATGAGTATCTATCGATCTATCTATCTATCTATGTCTGTATGTATGTATGTATCTATCTATCTAGCTATCTATCTATCTATCTACGTACGTACGTACGTATGTATGTATGTATAATTATATATGCCTATTTGCTCTTTGTATTGTCCTACCGATACATGCTTGCAGGTGCTTTTGAAAAGGCAATAATTACAGTTTTCTGTGTTTATGTCAGTGCAATCTGAGAAATACCTTGCAATGAATCTTCTCGTCAATAACCTGTGTATAAACTTGCCACCCTTGCAATTGGGTGAGTCTCATTTTGCTTGTTGTTCAATCTATTGTATATCTTTAGTTTATCGTATTAATGTATTCATGTCGATAAATAACTGGGAAAAAACATGATATCATCAGAGTACGTGGCTTAGTCTTTAGTGCGGGTCAGTTCCTGTACAGTTTTTAACTACGTCACATCACATGTTCCAAGTACAGTATTAGATTGTCACTTTTCTGTTCAACATGTTTTTTCAATTTCCATGACGTGATCCTGTTGAGACTTGAACATTTTGTTGGGAACGTTGCGATGAATGTTGGGAAATCTTGAAGCTTAAATCCGCTGGGGCTTAATG